GGGGGAGGAGAAAAGGAGAAAGGAGGAGAGAACAAGAGGAGGAAAAGGAGGAGGAGGAAAGAAGGAGAAAGGAGGACGAGAACAAAAGGAAGAGGAGGAGGAGGACAAGAAGAGGAGGAGGAGGAGGAGGACTGTAGGGTTCTTTGTGCTCTCTGAGCTTGGTTGTTTTCTTGCAGACATCATCAACGCTAATAAGAAGAGGGAGGTTTGCTCTCGTTTTTATAGATTAGCAGCCTGCCCTATCAACTGGCTTGATACTGCACAGGGTTTCTCACTTCAAAGGACAAACTACCTTCCAAATCAAACTGTAACGGGTAAGGTTTTGGAAACTGACAAGTGCTGTGCTTTGCCAAATGTTTCCATTCATTTTAACTGGATTTGGGCCATTTCTTTGATTTCGAAAAGGGAACCCTCCTTCCAACCTAGGACCATGGAAGATGCAAAGGTTCTTATTGCAAAAGTATGCATACCTTGGAGTGTTGGGCGAACCTCCCCCGTCTTGCAGTGTTACACCATCTCGTACTGGTTACTCGTGATGGACCGGGAGAGGCAGCAGGCCAAGAAAATGCCAATCAACTAACAGAGAAAAGGAAAGGCAGCATCAACTGGATGACATCAAGCTAAACATCTGGACAGACAATCCTCGGCTTTGTTTAGCGACCATTCAAAGTTACGACGGCACTGAAACAAGTGACCTATGGGTATTTTTCATACTGATGACCGTTGCAGCCTCCCCACGGGATCAAAATTCGGATGCTTTGGCAGCCGATTCATCTTTATGACAATTGCCATATCCCAGGGTCACGAGATCCCCTTTTGCGACGTTATGACAAGCAAAGTCATTGGAGAAGCCAGATTCACTTAACAACCGTGTTACTAAGTTAAAAACTGTGGTGATTCACTTAATGTGATGACCCAGAGTGTAACACAAACGTAATGAAATCCAAAACGTAAATAAATGTCCTTTAATGCCTCCAACTTGGCCCCACTGTTCAATAATTCTCCGTTGGAGATAAAACTTATTCAAAAATAGTCTTCAAAAGAAAGCAATACAGTCCGAACTCAATGAGCGGATAGAGGTGAAATAAAAAACCAAAACAAACTACAATGAAGGAATTTCCACAACGGACCAGGATAAGTAATTACCAACTCCGAGGAGATAACAAGGCACAGTCTGTTGGAAGGATGCCAGTCAAGGTAACTTCAGCCCAGAATAAAACATGCTTTGCTTCTGGCAATGCTGTGTTTTAACCGTCTCTCTTATATACTATTCTCCCCAGCTGCAACCAATGAGGGGGATCATGGCCGCTTCCTCTCTTGCAAGCCAAGTTGTTTCCTTCTCTGTTCCTCCCTGCATGTCCTAGGATGCAGAGGGGATGGGCCTGGTTCTTCCTCTGACAGCCCAGCCGGCCTCTGCCCTTCCCCAGCCTCCTCCACAACCTCCGGAGCCACACCTCCACTCCCTGTCGGCTGTTCCTCCTCTCCCTCAGAGTCCAACTCTAACAAGGGCATGACACTTAACAACTGTGGCAAGAAATGGGAATTATTTTATCAATGGTTGGAAAATAAAAGTGGAAGTTAGAAATTAAATATAAGAATATGGAAGAGAAGAAGCTCAGAAAGGTGGGGTTATAACGATAAGGTATATTATGTGTTAGCAGGTTAAAATAAGAATGTAATTGTTGTTATGGTAAGGAATTTGTATTAATTAGAAACATTATTGTACAGATGACACACTGTTTAAATGAAAGATGGAATGCTTGTAAAATAAAATTTAAAAATGTAATTAAAAAAAGAAAAGATCAAACAGAAAAAAAATCACAGGTGTTAGGACAGGTGAAGGTCCACCTGCACGGTTCTTCAGGAAGGCTCACCTGGAAACAAGCAGTGCCAAAGGAGATCCCAGCCACAATGCCCATCTCAGAGTCCATGGTTTGTATCACCAGGCTAAAACAACCCTGCAGAGAGAAACAAGAGCCGGAATGATATGTGGAATTTAATTGACATAAAAATAACATAGTGAAATATTGCATAAGCTAATGAGATTACAATTTAATAAAAGCAACTGTATTATTATTAGAATTGCACTTGTTAAACATAAATATGATGAATACTATTTTACTTGTATCAAAATGTGACTAGAAAGAGGATTTTTAACAAATATATATAATAATGCATAATTAAAAATTAAAAAGGGGATAAAAAATGGAAAATTATAATTCAATATAAATTTGTGAACTGTTATTAGAAACATATAATTTGTCAAACACAGCAAATATGATTATTCATATATTGTCTGTAGTAAAAGGAGTGATGTTAAGAATATAGAGATTGACACAAAATAATATACTGTAGTATCAAATAATCAAGATGGATAATTTAACAAAATATGCGTATTAATATCAAATTTTATAAGATTGTCAATTGTGTTAAATATGAAGAATATTGTTTTAATATGTAAGACACTCCAGAACCACACTGTTCACACAATGATATGCTTGTTGAAACAAAAAATAAAAAATTTATTGAGAGAGAGAGAGAGAGACAGAGACACAGAGAGAGAGAGAGACAGAGAGAGAAATAAGAGCTACCAGCAGAGGCCTTTCCACAAGGAACCAAAAACACACCCAGTCCCTTTCAACCTTGACTTGACTTTAACCTCAATCGAAGATCGTATGCCGAGTTCTTTGAATCGGGATGGGAGGCTTGCAAAAAGATCCTACCGGTTGTGTCAATATTTGCGCAGCGCCCTCTGTGCTGTCGCTTTAGAGCAGTGGACTTTGGAAGCATTTAGCAACCAAGACCTGCTCCCTTCTCAGCTCAACAGGAAGTCGGGAGAATAAAGGCCAGGATCTCCTCACAATCCAGTGTTTGCATTCTATGCCACGCACTCAGGGGAGGGCTGCTGGGGGTTCGCAGGGGTTCGGGAGAGCCCCTGGCTCAGATTCTGTGCCGTTCAGAAAACCCCCAATCCCACTCTTGTCTGGCCCTGCCCACCCGCCCCTCCCTGGAGTCCCCACGCGGCCTGTTTTGGGTGAAGGAAGGCTTGGGGAGGGCGAAAAACGGGCCTCCCAGAAGTTCAGGATGGCCAGGAATGGGCCCGTTTCCGGCTTCCAGAGAGCCTCAGGAGCCCCGGGAGGCTGTTTTTGCCCTCTTGGAGGCTCGAGGAAAGCCTCCGGAGTCCGGGGAGGGCAAAAATGCCCCCACCTGCCTTGGTGCAGAGGCCGACTAGACCACACCCACCACGGCCATGCCGATCAGGCAGAAAACACATTGCTAAAATGTTTAAAGCCCACCCCTGCACACAGTCCTTGTTATCTCACATCGTGCCCCTTCACATGACCATGGATACTCAAAAATCACGGTCACTTGAGCTAAACTAATTTCATAGATACAGAAGCAATGAAACTGGTGAAGATGAAGCTTAGGGAAGTTCCAGCTTCATTCCTTCCGCTCGAGACTGTCATGTTCTGCCTTAACAGTTTTGAAACCTCCCTAAAGACACATCCTGCCTTCCCGCCACTTGGATATACGGGCCTTCTGTTGTCCCAAAGGTGCTTTTTCAAGAGGCAACTGGACTTTCTGGTTTGTCTTTGAAGACATTTCCCACCTCATCCGAGAAGCTTCTTCAGCTCTGAGAGCAGAAGAAGTTTATGAAAGAAGCTGAAGAAGCTTCTCGGATGAGGTGGGAAACGTCTTCAAAGGAAAAACAGAAAGTCCAGTTGCCTCTTTGCAAAGCACCTTTGGGGCAACCATGTCCTGGATGACGTAGAATCTCTATAGACCTTCTGTTGGCCCAAGAAAAGCCTAACTGTTGTGGCCTGTTGGCCACCAGCCCCTCCAGCAGCTGAATCGGAGGAGGAGGAGGAGGGGGAGGCGTGGGAGTCAGGGCCAGCATCAAGGCAACCTGAGAGCTCCAAGGGGAAAGAGGAAATGAAGCTGTCAGAGAGAGAGAGAGAGAGAGGCAGAGCCTGGGCTGTCTGTGAGCCCTCAGAAGGAGAGTCAACAGCCCTCGGGTCCTCCTTTAAGGGGAGGAACAGCTGAGTCCATTGCCTGATGCACAGAAGGCAGAGGAGAGGCGAGCAGCGGAAATCTATGGGCCGGTCCTTGGGACAGAAGAGCTACCACTGCTAACGAAGCCCCACCCTAGCTCTGGGGATAAAAGACAGGAGGTGGAGATGAATAGGTGTGGCAGACAACTATCCATCTCCCTGCCAGACAGACTTGTTAGCCTGCATTGAGAGAGAGGGGGGGGGGAGGGAGGTGGGGGGAGAGAGAG